AAGAAGAAGAAGAAGAAGAAGAAGAAGAAGAAGAAGAAGAAGAAGAAAGGGATGGGGGAAAACCAGGGTCAAGAGTGACAGTGAATTATGTGTCCCAGAGTCTGCCAGCAGTTACCTCCAATTAAATCATGAGTCTCAAGCCAAACTTCCAAAACTTCAAAAGGATTTATTGGGAGTTAACATGTCCGGCACTGCCTGGGTGTAGCCGACTCTGAGGCACATCATTCCTTCTCACCCTTGGTTCCCGCCCCCTGGGCGTATCGTAATTCATATTCTCCAATGGGACACATCCATAGCCCAGAGTCATCAGTCATGTTCTCCAGTTAGATATTTGCGCATCAGAAACTTCAGTCACCTGGTTACAATCCCTGAAAAACTATGTATGGAATGCGCTTTTGATTTCCAAGCTGCCGCACTGCTCTTTCAAAACCCTTCTCCCCCCCCCCTTTCTGTTCGCAACTCTAAAACGACCATAGAAATGTTTTATGAGTTGACAATCTCTTTATAAAGCCTTAGTAAAGCCTTAGTAATCTCCTCCTCCTCCTCCTCCCTCCTCCTCCTCCTCCTTCACATGATTTTGATTCTATGCCACTGTTTATACAACCCAGGATTGTATTTGCTTTTTTGGCTGCTGCCGCTGCACGCGGCTGGCTCAGGTTTAAGGGATCGTCCACCAGGACTCCACGGTCCCTATCACAAATCGCTGTTTTTGAGCCAGGTTTCGCCTAATCTATACTTGTCCCTTTGTTTTTTCCTGCCTAAGTGTAAAACAGTAGTACTCGACCTAAGACCACAATGGAGCCCAACATTTCTGTTGCTGAGTGAGACATTTGTTGAATGAATTTTGCCCCATTTTACAACCTCATTTGTTGAATGAATTTTGCCCCGTTTTATGACCTTTCTTGCCATAGTGGTTAACCACCGCGGTTGTTAAGTTAGTAACATGGTTGTTAAGTGAATCTGGCTTCCCCCATTGACTTTCTGACATTGTTTGTCAGAAAGTCACAAAAGGGGATCATTTGACCCCAGGACGCTGCGACCATCGTAAATATGAGTCGGTTGTCCAATGTTTGAATTTTGACCACATGTCCATGGGGATGCTGCATCGGCCGTAAGTGTGAAACAGCAATAGCACTTAGACTTATATACCGTTTTTACAACCCTCTCTAAGCGGTTTGCAGAGTCAGCCTCTTTCCCCCAACAATCTGGGTCCTCATTTTACACACCCTGGAAGGACAAAAGGCTGAGTCAACCTTGAACCTGGTGAGATTCGAACTGCTGGCAATGGGTAGTCAGTCTGCAATGCTGCATTCTAACCACTGCGCCACCAGGGCTCTTGAGAGAGAAAGAAGAAAGAAAGAAAGAAAGAAAGAAAGAAAGAAAGAAAGAAAGAAAG